GCTGCCTTGCTGCAGGCCTTTGCCACCTTGCGCTGGATGGTGAATTCCAGCAGGCAATGATCACTGTCGCCCAGGTGGTCAAGTTGAAACAACTTAGGCACATGGATTCTCCCTTACTTGAAGTCTTTAAATCAGTGGTTCTCAACCTTTTCAAGCTCAGAGCACCCCTCCAGCACTTCTTTGAAAGATGCAGCAGCCCCAGTAGAGAACCAGTGTTGGTGCTGCCTTGACTTGTACTGTTCTGGGCTTCACATTTTAAAAAGGATGCAGAGAAGATAGAAAGCGTCCAGACATGGGCAGAGATGATCAAGGCTTAGAAGTCAAGTTATATGAGGAGACGTTGAAGGAGTTACTTGAAGGGCTGCCATTTACTTCTCTCTAATGCTACAGAGAGGAGGACACAGGATCAATGGCTTGAAGTTGCGGCAAAGTAAATTTAGATTGGATATCGAGAAAAACTTCTTCAGTGTGAGAAAAGTGAGGCAGTGGAATAGACTGCCTAGGGAAGATGTGGACTCTCCACCACTGGATCTGTTTGAGAAGAGGCTGGACAGCCACTGGTCAGAGATGATGTAGGCATAGCTATGCCTATGTTCTACCATGGGCATTTCCCATGCTTCTGGGCTTTGTTGGTTGCTCCCACTCCAACCTCCCCACTTCTCTGCTATATGTATCAGGGTGTTTTTAAGCCTCCCCAGAGGCATCTGGAGCTGGCTACAGCTAAGGCTGGGGACTTCAAATGGGATGTGCCGATTGTCCTGCTAGGAGCAAAGCCGGAGGTTCCTGGCTAGAGGGTCTTACCCCTCTGTTCAGGGTCGAACTGATGGTTGTTTCTGGAGTCAGGAAGGATTTTTACCCCATGGGCAGACTAGTACAGACTGTGGGGGTTTTTGCCTTTCCCTGTAGCAAGAGGCATGGCCCTCTACCTGGGGCCTCTTGAGCACCTACTGACAACATTTCATATAAGAAGGACATTGGCTGCCATAGTCCCCCACCTTAAACTGTAGCAGGTTAGGGTGTCAGGTCTATGTTGTGTTAGGGTTGAGAGTAGTCTTAGGTAGAGTTTAGATTATGCTTGCATGAGATGGTTTGGATAGGGATGATCCTGCCTCCGGCAGGGGGTTGGAGTAGATGACTACTAGAGGTCCCTTCCAGCCCTGCTTCTCTGTGACCCCAGTGCTTGTCAACCAGGTTTGGCCAGCTCCAGGTAAAAGTGCCCCATGTCTGCTGCACAGATAGCTCAGGAAGAGCTGTGGTGCACACAGTACTGCTGCACTAGAGCTCTAGTCAATCCAAAGCAGGCAGGAGCTGCTGCATGTTGGGTAGCTCTTTCTCATCCATCTCCAGCTCTCGCCTCTCCTCCTGGTCTTCCCACAACTCCTCTCAAAAACAGAGGCGTGAGAGTCTTGTGTGTCTCTGTTTCTGGGAGGAGCATGGGAGGTGCAGAACAGGAAGGGCTACAGCACCAGCCAGCAGCTACAGCTTTAGGGTTATCAGAGCCCTAAAGCAGAAGGAGTGTATGTATAGGGCAGTTTTACCTGGCTGCTGCCACCATGACATCCCAGTTAAGAACCCCACTACTTTAAATTAAGGTGGGGTTCCTTCTAAGAGATATGCTCTAGCTCAGTAGTTTATAATCTGTGGTCTGTGGACCCTATGTCTGTGGGGTCTGCGAAAGATGACTATAATCTATCAAAAGTATGTGAATACCCACACTTGCAATACAAAGGGGGCTGCATCTCCATTCAAAATTTTTTATGGGTCCACAAATTAAAAGGTTGAAAACCACTGCTCTATTTTAAAGAACAGTTATAGAGCTGATAGACAAATTAATGGGGAAATATTTTATTTGTTATGAAGAAAATCAGATTGGATGACCACTTTGGTCACTTATATGAATTTGTGACTCAGTGCCTTGTTTTATTCAGTGAAGAGTGACATTCGTGGACTTCAAATAGATCCCCTGAAACCAGTGTGTCTGGAGTACGGTGATGGTAGCTATGATACCCACTGCAGGTGTGAGGATAAAGTAGTCAGTAAACAAGAGGGCACATCTCAGTGTCTTGCAGGGATCAACCAAAAAGCATACACAGTGGAAAGTGAGGAAGGAAAACAAATGTAAGGTTGACACGCATGCTTCTGTCTACTCTACCCACAGAATCTGCACAGCCTCAACTCCAGTTGGTTAAGTTAAACTGGTGCAAGTATTGTGTATAGACTTATATCAGCTTAGCTTGGTTCCATCAGTTTAGATCAGTGGTGCTTAACGTATGGCCCACGGGCTGTATTTGGCCCCTGAAGTAACTGGATCTGGTCTGCAGCACAAGGGAGCAGGGGCAAACAGTTTGGCCTTTGCAACCCTCTTGCTCCTCTATATTACTTACTGGAAGTGAGCCCTGTTCTGTCCCCTTCCCTTATGGTAAACACTGTTTGTGGGAAATAAACTCTCTTCCTCTCTTCCCCCAGACACCTCTCTCCTCTCTTTCCCTCCCTCGCTACAAGAGGGCAATGTTGGCCTGCAGTGCAGTCATTTCACAAGCACTGGGTTCATGATGCTAGAAGGTTATGCCCCACAGGTTCAAATGGCACCTATACACTGACAGACTACACCAACAGAAGACAGGCTTAAACTGACAAAAAAGTCAAACCAGTTTAACTAAATTGGTATAAAACCAGTTTAACTAAATTGGTATAAAAATTGAACTCTTAGTTATATCCACATAACTTTGTCTTTTGACCAGGGGCCACAGTTCAGTCCTACAAAACTGCAACTGTAAACCTTTGTGCTCTTGCACCACCTGCTTCTTGCTACTACCCCACATCTGTGTTACAGCAGTTTCAAGAATGTCTCTGGATTAGTGACCACTTGAGTACATTAAAGATGAAAGCTTTTGAGACACGCTTCCTCCTTCCTGAGGCAATATTAAATGGAGCTGGATTTGTTCTGCCTCAGCCTGCAAGCCTGGGAGCTGCACTCATGCAAGCCTGTGAGAAAAGTAATGAAGCATCACGGTAGTATTGCTATGCCATGCACTTGGTCTCCCTCCAGCAACTCCACAGCCATATCTCTGCTGCAACCATCTGGGCTTGTCAGTTACCGTGTCATAAGCTTAGCATTGTAGATAAAGTCTTTGCTTAGTTCATATGGACTTAGTCATTGCTAATGCTCTTGCCCTCCACCACTATCCAGCTACTGGAGCATGAATGCCAACCCTGCTATGTGCCCCCTTGCCTCACCCCAAAAATCACCTTAAGCTTCCATGTCTGTGACCCTAACACAGCTTTGCAGACAGAAAGGGCACTAGGCATGTCACACACTTATCATTAAGGGCACTTAGTAAGCTCAGTATAATGCAGCTATGCAGTTTGATCTATTATCAATGCAGACTTAAAAAAAAGTCTTTTCCCAATCTTGGGTACATCTCAACATAAGCCAAACATGTTTGCTAGTCTACAGACAACCAGAACTACACAATTAAATCATTCTTATTCATGACAAAAGGATGTTAATGGTAAAGCCTAAAGAAAATTCCAACTATTTTATTGCTGATCTGAGCAGAAACATCAAATGAACATGCCTACTTGTTGCTGCTGGGTGCTCTAGCAGATAGTGAGGTGGACTCCAGTGCAGCAATTAACTACTGTTAAGATTTGTTTAGGGAAGGTGGGTGGAAGTGGAGAAAGGAAGGGAATGAAACATTCATGCCTATCTTCTGGCTGCAAAAACTTCCCTACTAACTTCCACAATGCAATTACATCTGAAAAATTAAATATGTGCAGCAAAGTACAGAGGCAGCACAACAATCTAATTTAACATAAAAACAAACAAGCCCAAGGGAAGCAGCATTGATTGCTCTGGATATAGCAAGGGAAAGCTTTGGGGGACAGTACTGCATAATACTATAATTCCTACTGAATTGTTCAGGTCTAACAGGCTGCATAAGATACATGATTATGTGTATGCTGAAACCTTTTCAGAGACAGTAAATACAGGGATGCTTTACATAGGGGTTAGCTTATTCCAAAGAGAAGGATAAGCTGCGCTAATCACATGCTTGCTATTGTTACACCATCCCAATGGGATGTAAGGACTGTGCACACAAGTTGGATACATAAAGCCTGGAGTGTGGAATTAGAAATGTGTTTCTAGATCAGGGGTTCAAGGATGCTCAGCCTTAAGTTGCTATTCATCTGTACAGGTTGTGGTTGTTACCCCGCGTTCTAGTTTTAGTTCAAGATGAAGTAATCCAGGGCACAGACTGCCTCGCATAAAATACCTTCATAGCCATGAGTTCCTGCATCAATACAGCATTTTCCAGATCAAGCCTCTGACTGTCTCCACGAGGTTTGACATCATAACTGAGTGGATCAATGTGAATGCTCTCCAGTTCCAACATGGTGAGTTTGACCGCTGCCCTATCATTCTTCAGTTGCTGGATGTAATCTTTCAACCGCTGCTCATCCTCTTTTGTAAACTCTGTATCACAGCTACTTGCAGTTGAGCTGGTAGTACTGAAAAAAAACAAACACATCCTTACCAGCAAGAAAAAGGGGATTGTATTTCTAGCATCCTCACATTATTTGCATTTTGGTTTAATAAAAAATCTGATCCATCCATCCATTTTTACACTACCAGTTACAATAGAATATAATTTTAATTAGGATCTAGTATGTATTTTTTAAAGCACTATGGTAGCACTTTAGTAAACACCACCTTCAGACAGTGTGTCAAGTATCCAATTTTTCATATTTGGAAGGAAAATTTTATGAATTCTGTTTCATTATCTGAATTCAGGTAAAAGATATGGATAGTATACCAAATGTTATAATATACAGAAAATGCATCTACAAGTCTTTACAACATAAAGAAAAGAAAAAGCATTCTTCAGACAGAATAAGAACAAAAGAAAAAAAATCTCAGAATACTGAATCAATTACTTCTTCAGTGCAAAGTCAGGTATTTTGTTGCCTGGAATTAAATTATTTTGACTGGAATAACAGCTTTTGAGTATAACCTTTAAAAAAAGAATAAAAAGTGAACTCAGTGCTTTATGTATTATACCGAAAGCAATGACAACTAAGGTCTATTACATACAGCACCTTTGATACAGCACTGGCAATAGCACAGCCAACTTTTAAACACTGCCTCGCCACTGTGCCCTAACTTTCCAGGGCAAGGACAACACCTAGAAGCAAAATGGTATTTCAGAGCCTGTGATCTCCCTGTAATAAATGTTATGGTTCCTTATTTTTCATAGACACCTGCAGCAACTTGCCTGAGACTGGCAGGTTGCTTTAGCAGATCCACCAGCAACTGTCACATGGATGGCAGTGTCTTTCAATCACTATCAGGCTGGGGCTGAATCTGAAACAGCAACCAGCTACTTATCCAGAAGACAGCCAAATCGCTCAAACTTAGAGACTTATCATAGGATTTCTAATGAACTCCTTCATCTGATTTTTCCGTAGCATTCCTTTTCAAAGATGCAGTTTCCAAAGCAAAACTGCCAATCAATTAGCTTTCTGACATGGCACCAAACATGGAGCTTTTATAAAGAGAAAACAATGTCTAGATAAGCATGGGGTGCCTCAGTGCTCTGTCCCTATCTAGCTGTATGCTAGTGGTCTAGGGAAGAGAGATTTGGGGAGGTTAACTGCAATGCTGCTTTAGTTCCTTAACATGCCAGTGCTGAATATAACTGCAATAACACGAAAGGGAAAAGAACCAACACTTCATCTTCTACAACCTCACACAGACAGGCTGCCTGCTGTCTCCCGAGGACCTGTAATCAGCTGCTGGGTGAGGGTTAAGTCATCCATTAAGTGTGCCTGTCTGGAATGCTGGATGATCTCAGTTATCAGCAGGGGAATAAATCACTTTCTGTATTGGGTTGCATTATTTTTCAACATTTTTGAGGGGAAAACCCCACCCTTTGGATTCCTGCTGTCTCGACAATAATATCCTCGAATTGTATTTTGTGTGTGCTA